GTTTCTCTGTAGCTTTGGAGGCTGCCCTGGAACTAGCTCTTGTAGACCAAGTTGGTCTCGAACTCACAGAGATGCGCCTGCCTCTGCCTCCCAAGTGCTGGGATTAAAGGCGTGCACCACCACTGCCTGGCCAGGATTTGTTTCTTAGGTCTGGACTGTAGTCCTGGTGTTCATTTGGGGAGGTGGGAAGGTGGTCTCTCTCTCTCTCTCTCTATCTATCTATCTATCTATCTATCTATATATATATATATATATAGTGCATTGGTGTTTTACCTGCATGTGTGTCTGTGTGAGGGTCTCAGATCCCCTGGAACTGGAGCTACAGTTGTGAGCTGCCATGTGGGTGCTGAACCCAGGTACTCTGGAAGAGCAGCTAGTGCTCTTAACCACTGATTCATTTCTCCAGCCCCTTGGTGGGAGGGTCTCCTTTAAAAAAGACCAAAGATTTGTTTTTAAATGTGTGTTTAGCCTGCATGTATGTCCGTGCACCACACATGCCTTGTGCCCCCGGAGGCCAGCCTGCATGTGTGTCTGTGTACCACAGTGCATGCCCGGTGCCCCAGAGGCCAGAAGAGGGCATCAGCTCTCTTGGAAGTGGAATTACAGTTGGGACCCACTATGTGGGTGCCGAGTGCTAGTCCTCTGCAGGAGCAGCCAATCTGGCCCTCATTTTTTCCAACCAAGAGGCTTTATGTGACTTGTCCTCTTCTTTCAGGGAGGCGTCTGGGCTTGTGCTTCTCTCCAGCTGCCCCCAGACAGCAAGCCGCTTGCAGAAGTTCTTCGTTCACTCAAGGAGAACACAGAGGCCCACAGCCACCTACTGGTGAGAGATGCGGGGTGACTCCCAGGGCCAAGGAAGGTCCCAGCTGGCTGCTCTGAGACTTCCTTTCTCTTTCTCAGTGGCATCACTGATGGCATCCCTGAGCCTTCTGAGGGGACTATCCACGTGGCCCTGAAGCTGGAACGCATGGATGGCATTGATCTTGTGAGTCAGAAGCCACTAGGAGTCCTTTCAGGTTTTGCCTTACAGAGGAGTCTGCACTATGTGCATGGGGTGGCTATTCCCCTGTCCTCTAACAGGCAAGTTGCTGCTGCCTGTTCTGAGGCCCTGTCCTAAGTCAGCCGGCAGCAGGGGTGGCTCAATTGGGCTCCTACGTGTGTGCTAAGTCATTCTTGACTGGTATCCTAGGCCATCCCCGTGACATCCCCATCTCGAAAGGACATCCTAGAAGGTGTCAAGAGGACCCTCAGCCATTTCCATGTGATGGCCACAGGCTGTGGCTGTGCTCTGGTCCAGCTGCAGCCACTGACAGGTAGGGCTGAACAGTACTCTGCAGGGGAAATGAAGCCTATGAGGAAGATGTTGTTTTGCAACATCCAAAGAGCATCTGGTGGCCGGGCGGTGGTGGGGCATGCCTTTAATCCCAGCACTGGGGAGGCAGAGGCAGGCACCTCTCTCTGAGTTCGAGACCAGCCTGGTCTACAAGAGCTAGTTCCAGGACAGCCTCCAAAGCCACAGAGAAACCCCGCCTGAAAAAACAAAAAACAAAACAAAAAAAAAAGAGCATCTGGGGACTCTGAGAGTGGGCTCAGCAGGAGGCAGAGTTTTAGGTGCACACCCACAGTTTAGCACCCAACCCACATACTTATTCCCAGGAGCTTCAGTTCTGTTGGGTTCAATGCCCCCAGGCTGGGAAGGTTGCCAGCTGTCATTGTCCTGATCTGCTCATGGCCCTCTGTGGAGGCAGAGGTCACCTCATAGATGCACAGGCTCTGGGAATGGGGACAGTCCTTGATGATCAAGAAGAGCAACTGCCTCCCCCCCATCTTTCAGTGTTCCCCAGTCAGCTTCAGGTGCACATGGCTCTACAGCTCTGCCCAGTGCTTGGGGACCACACCTATGCTCCTCGAGTGGGCACCGTTCTGGGCCAGCGCTTTCTGTGGCCAGCCAAGACCACCAAGCTCCAGAGACAGGTAGGTCTTCAGGCCCACATGCCTGCTCTGTATTTAGGGAATTGGGGGAACAGGCTTGGCCTCTGGGGCCACCCTTGCCTCTGTGGTGCTGTGACTTCCTCAGGCTTCCTTCTGTCTGTTAGCTCAAGGAGTGGGGAGCTGACCTCTGACAGGCCCTGAAGTCCATTGTTTCTTCTTGGATTAAGTCTGGCAAATGGGCATACAGTAGGAGTGGACCTGACTCTGGGTAGCCACTTGGAGAAAAGGGCTATTGCTTCCTGGCCATAAGGGGAGACTGGATGTTTTTGTGAATCGGGGCTTTGAGGGCTAGGTCTGTGTTTTCCTCACATCCCATTGGTGAGTGGCTTAATCACATGGCTTCACTAAACACAAAAGGAGCTGAAACGTAACTTAGCTCTGTGTGGAGAGAAATCCCTGCCTGCCTGTTGAGAAAATGATGGCAGTTGCAGACCAGAGAGGTCCATCAGAGCCAGGGGCTCCTCTGGCTGGAACTCAGGTGGGCTGCTGTCTTTCCCACTCCAGGTGCTGGACGAAGCTCTCCTCAGACGCCTTCGCCTGCGTCCTTCCCAGGTGGCCCAGATGCCCTTGCACCTGCACTTGCACCGCCTCCTCCTCCCAGGCACCAGATCCAGGGACCCCCCTAGTGAACTTGTGGCACCCCTACCCTCGTACTTCTCTCGGACCCTGCAGTGCCTGCGGCTCTCTCACCGATAGACAGTGCTTAACCCCCAATTGGAAAATAGAAAGAAGGGCCGTGACCCAGCTCAAGGACAGTGGGCTTGGTGCTGAGTACGGTCAAGGTCTTTGACTCCTTAGTCCTACCAACCTAAGATAAATCCCAGTTAAACCACTCACTTACTGTGTGGCGTTGGGCAGGTGACCGCTCTCTGGACTTAAAATAATAAAAGTCCTACCTCACAAGTCTGCTTTTGAGGATCTGCTGAGAAAGCAAGTGTTGACCAGGGACTGTGCTCTCTGCTCAAGTGAACAGTGGCCAGGTCTGGAGGTGGCATCTGCTGTACTCCTGGTCACGAGGAGGTTTGTTTGCTTTTGAGGCTGGGCCTCTTGGTATATCCCTGGCTGGACTGGAATTCAGAGATGCACCTGCCTCTGCCTCCCAAGTCCTGGGAGGACAGACACACACCACTGTGCAGGCATGAGCTCTTCTGACTTTGGGAGACACAGGTCATTGGATTTCAACACCGCACTCTCCTCTCCACCCTGCCCCACTCAGGAAGCATTCACACGCTACAGCTAGATACCGCTTTTGGAGGACCAGCAGCTGAGGCTCTACAGGTAGGAAATGCCACACTTGACCTGTTTCTTGGGTTTTGCAGTTTGAGGTGTCTTGACCGACCCCTCACTGAGGGACATACTCTCCGGAGAAAGGCTGAGGTTTAGGGAAAGCCCGTCTCTTGTCATAATGTTCTGTGACCATCAGAAGCTCTTCTGCCAGCCCAGCTTGTCTTTGGGAAGGGGCACTCCTGATGGCTGACTTTCCGCCTGCTGTGGTCTCAGGCAAGCCATGTCTCAGTGTCATCATCTGTATAGTGAAGGCTCTTTCCCCACCCATCCGTCTCCCTGCAGAGAAAGCCAATGTCTGTCGCTGGGTGGGGACTGTGGCCCTTGCTGATGGAGGCCCTGCTGGTCAACTCTTTTATGAGCCTAGCCGCACATTATTCAAGCCAAGTCCAGAGAACTTTAATTGCTTTTTTTAATTTGATGCTGGATCCAGGATGGGGCAGTAGAGATCAGAGCAGGGGTTTCTCTAGCCTCCTATCCCCCATGGTTCTCAGTGTCCGGCATGTCAGAATAAGGGTCAAGGGTTTGGGGAGGCTCAGCCTCTTCTTGGGGTATGCCTCAGCCCTGGCTTTGTCGCAGAGTATGGCCTTGAACTTGCCTTTGGCCGTGACTTTCCTGTGGGTGCTAGGAAGAGGTCCAACTTCAAAGGGCAGAGGCCTCGAGGCACTTCCAAAGTGGGGGCCTCGAAGGTGCAGGGGAATAGCAGCCTCGGTGCAAGGAGGGGAGGGAAAGAGATATGATCAGGCCTCTGTCTTGGAACAGGGTTCTGGAGAAGACAAGCCCTTCCCTGGGGCGCTGTATGGTCCGAGCGCTGCCCTCTGTTCGTGCCCTTCAGCCCCGATCCCACTGCTCAGCACTACCCGCCAGGGTGTGAGGCACAGCTCGAGGCCCACCTTTCCTGGCTTCAGCATGCTGGGTGCCAGCTTGAGATCAGGGTGAGGTGGGAAGGACATCAGAACCTTGGCAGTAGGTAGAGTCATCAAGGCCTTGCCTGTGGTTGACAGAGCCTTAGAGCCCACCAGTTGGCCATTCGGTAGTCTGAGGACCCGGCCCTGGGGTCGGAGCACATGGGAAGAAGGCAGCCAGGCCTTGGAATGGAGACTAGGGAGGTAGGACGGGGCTGTGGGAGAAGGGAAGCTGTGAGGATCTGGGTGAGGCCCCAGCCTGACCAATTGTTCCACAGTACATGTGTAAAGGTGGGGGATACAAGGTAAGGGCAGATGGAGCCCCTCCCAGCTCCTCCTCCAGAGGCAGTGGGAAGAACACAGGGTTGGGAGACCAACAGACCTGGGTCTGCATCCCAGCTCTGCCCCTTCTGAGCTGTGCAACCTCGGGCAACGTCCTTAAACTTGCTGCTACCTCGGCTGGAAAATGGGGACAATAGCACCTACCTCACTAGGGCGTTATGAGGGCTGAGGGGGCTGGTTAGGAATGGGGAAGGGCATGGTGGCAGCACCTTTCTCCAGAGAAAGGTGAGGGCAAAGGCTGGCTAGAGCAGCAGCATGGGTCTGGACTCTGGGCGCGCACTCTAGGACCGAGCCTTTGGTCTAACTGCCTGGCAGGGTGACTACTTTGTAATACTCATTTGGTTATGTATTTAAAGATATTTGGTTCATACTTGCTATCACTGGTGGCCTTTTGGCAGGAGGGCAAGCCCAGATGCTTGGGGAGGGCTTGGAGAGCAGGCAGAAATGGCCTTGGGAACACTGCGGGGTTTGGGGGACATGGTACTACCCCAGGCCTCAGGCTGTTTCAGACACATTAACCTGTTGAAGGTGGGGCCCACCCTGGTGTTGTGGGACTCCCATTTCTGCAGGGTGATGCAGACCAGGGCTGTGGCACTTTTTGCCTTGCCTTTCTTCCCCTTTCCGGGGACTGAGGTGGTGGCCGCAGAGTCTGGCTTCTCAGTGTGTCCCAGGCTCCTGGCCCCAGCATCTTTCCTAGAAGCTGACCTGTGGATAGGGGGTCCTGAGTCCTTGCCTTCCCCACAGCCTTGCTGGGCCAGCAGATGAGGGAGTGATGAGCGGACCGCTGTCCGCCGATGACAAGCTGCTATGGGCTTCTTGATGGTAGAGCCCTCCACCATGAGCCGGATCCCCACGTACTGGGGCACCTCCACAGCAGGCTGTGGGCAGGAGAGAAGACAAGGCCATCTCAGACACTAGTGAGAGATGACAGTGACGCCATCTAGTGACTAGTGACACACGGCAGAGATGGATGGAATCAGTTTCTGGGATATATGGTCAAAAGGCACTTCTGAGAAACAGGAAGCTCCCTCTATTATCAAGGGGTCCAGAGGATCTAGAGTCCCAGAGCCCTAGGGATCAGGAAACCAGAGAAGTAGAGAGTCTTAGCCATGCAGACATGCACTCAATCCTGCTTCACACTAAAGCGACCTCTGGCCTGTGTTGGGATGCAAGTGTTTTCATGCCATGGGCAGCAAAAGATGGATACAATTGAGCCTATTTTCTTTGTAACTTACACTGTCTGTAGTATTCTGTTATTAGCAACAGAAAAGGGACAGCTACACAAAGTAATACATTTTGGAGGCAAACAGTATTGAGATAGCTTATAAGGTACTTGCTGAGTTCAAGCCCCAGGACCCATGGGATGGGAGGAGAGAACCAACTCCCATAAGTTGCCCTCTGACTCCCACATGTGTGCTGTGGCATGTGTGACCACACACATGTACAAACTCAAACACAATAAATAATGTAAAGAAAAATGAAAAAAGCTACAAAGGGGAGGATGTGGCTCTGGTGGCAGCCACCTTAGTCTAAGGTCAAATTCGGCATTGGGAACTAGAGATTCCTGGTTGTGCCTTGTGACAGTCACATGAGGTACCTAGCATCACATGAGTGTTTTTTGCCAAAAATCTCAACCCTGAACCCCATCAGCTTGTTAGCCTATCTTCTAGTTTACAGGGCATTCAGAGAACAGACCGATCTGAACAACATAAGGAGAAAAACAGATAAAACAGTGTGGGGCGGTGGTGCAGGCTGGCCTGCCTGGCCTGCAAAGGACCAGGGTGCCAGGGATACAGCAGTGGCACTGTCCTAGATAAAGGAGATCAGAGACAGACAAAGCCACCATTGTAACCACCTTGTTGTACACTGACCCTCAAGCTCAAAACCAAATCAGCAATGAAAGATACCTGGGGGACAAAGGACATTTGAAAAGTGCGTATGCCCAGCCCTATTCAATTTTGTTTGTTCTGAGACAAACATTCAGAGAACAGACCGAGCTGAACAACATAAGGAGACAAACAGATAAAGACAGATTGTGGAACAGACAGTGCTGTAGGCCCAGGTTGGCTTCAAGCTCACATACAGCCAAGGATAACTTTGAACTCCTGATCCTCCAACCTCAGCCCCCTAAGTGTTGGGATTACAGGCACGTGTTGCCATGTCCATACAAATTTCGCTTTTTTTTTTTTTTTTTTTTTTTTTTTTGAGACAGGGTGTCTCTGTAGCTCTGGAGGCTGTCCTGAAACTAGCTCTTGTAGACCATGCTAGTCTCGAATTCACAGAGATGCGCCTGCCTCTGCCTCCCGAGTGCTGGGATTAAAGGTGTGCACCACCAACGCCCGGCAATTTTGCTCTATTTTAAACTGCAAATTACTTCCTCTTCCCCATTTCCTCTCCTCTCTTCCAAGACTACATTGTTTGTGACAGGACCTTATTATAAACCCTGTAACCAGGTGGTGGTGAACCTGTGACAGTCCTCTTGCTTCTGTTGCCCAGGGATTACAGGTGTATGCACACCTGCATGCATCTCCTCCTTTACATTTTTTAGGCTGGAGGTGTAGCTCAGTAGAACTGCACATGCTAAAAACGCAGGCCTGGATTCCACCCTGGACACCTAGTGATGGCATCCCTAACAAAGACGGAACCCTTTGCCAGCACATTATTCTAAGGTGATCAGGACCTGTAGGAAACATGAGGCCACCCAGGTCAGGTGATCAGTGTTTTCCCTTCCTGTAGCAAACCTAGACCTTGGTGAATCTTAGCTCAAAGATCTTAAAAACTGTCCTCAGAATTCAGAAACCCTTAAAAACATACGTTTAAAGGTTTGTTTGTTTGTTTGTTTGTATGATGTTTTTAAGTAGGGTCTCACTGTGAAGCCCAGGCTAGCCTGGAACTCACTGTGTAACCCAAGCTTCCCTTGAACTAAAAGTGATCCCCTGTCTCAGCCTTCCAAATACTGGGAGGTGGAAGGTGGAGCCCCATGTCCAGCTGTGGTGGCTAATATCAGTTGTCAACTAGACTGGACTGAGAAAACCTAGGATTTCTATAGGGCATGCCCCTGGTGTGCTCCTAAGGGTGTTTCTAGAGAGAATTAGACCACGAGGGCAAGGTAATGTTTTTTGGCTGAATAAAAAACAATTCTAGGTCGGGCAATGGTGGTGCACACCTTTAGTCCCAGCACTCGGGAGGCAGAGGCAGTCAAAGGTGAGTTCAAGGCCAGCCTGGTCTACAGAGCAAGTTCCAGAACAGGATCCAAAGCTATACAGAAAAACCCTATCTCAACAAAACCCACAAAAACAAAAACAAAAACCCCCAAGCAATTCTATACTTATTATAAATAAGCAAGATCAAATCTGTTTTTGGAAGAAGATGAGTAACATAATAATCGTTATAACAATGATAGACACTAATAATTAACTCTTGATAGGCAGGCCTTGAGGTTCATGGCCTCATATCCTCTATGTCCTCCAGCTTGGTACTTTAGCAAACCCTTGTGTGAAGATCAAACCACCCATTCTCACAGCACACAAAGGAGGAGCCAGGTACAGTCTTACTTTACAGATGAGAGAATAAGGTTACTACCTAGAGGCTTGGAATTACCATGGAAACTGAGCAGGTCCCAGGGCCTCTGAAAATACTACCTATGACTACAAACTCATGGCATTAATGGCTCTCAAAGGACAGTATCTTCCACAGATGAGGAGACAGGCCAGTGGGACGTGTCTGTGTTAAGATGCCCCGTGTGTAGAGTCAGTCTTGAACTCTGTCTCACAGCAGACCCCAGCCAGGGCTTTGCTGTAGGGTTGCCTGTGGGAGGTGCTGGGACATCTCACCTGCTTATAGATGAGCTCAAAGGCTCCCGTGTCACAGGTACGGTCCAGTCGCCGGTCAATGACCACACGGAGGGTATCTGCTTGCACACCAGCACACAGGCGGGCAGTTACAGCTGTGGAAGGTGCCATGGTGGGGCTGGCATTGATCTCAATCAACCAGGGCCGGAAGTCTTCCCCAAACACAAAGTCGGCCCCATAGAGCTCAAAGCTGGCCTTTCGGCACTGCACAGTGTCTTGGGAGGTCTGCAGGGCATGGATCACAGCAGCCTTCATGCCGGGTACAATGACACTAGACCAGGCATTTGGGGCACCCATTTCCTGCAGGTGGGCCTGAAACCTCTGGCTGGACCACATGTTGTCCGAGGGCAGCATCCGGTGCCGGTGACAGGAGGTCTCCAGGTATCTCTGGATGGAATTGTTACATAGGTGCACAGAGCTAGAGTGGATCAGAGACACAGGCTCAGCCCTGGAGCCCAACCTCAGGGCTGCAGGCAGAACCCTGTGGTCAGCCGTCTAGGGGATCTCAACTGAGAGGGGCCCCTGCTGGAAGATCAACAGGACAGAAGCACAGAAGCTGCACCCCTCCACCCCACCCCCACTCCCTGCCCCACTCCCTATTCACCCACGGCCAGGGCTAGTCATTTCTCAGAATGCTCCAGTGTTGCCTGCAGGCCACAGTAAGTATCAAGTGCTTTGGGCCTAGTTTCAGTTCACCATTCCTATGTGTGGCAGGGGGACGATGACCCTGGATGGTCAAATCCCAGCTTCACCGATGATCAACTATGAGATCTCAGGCAAGTCATTTAACCTTTGCCCCTCTCATCTCTTTTTAAAATGGCAATAACTCACTTCATTGTGAGCCATTGAGAAGTGGCTGTGGTATAACCAAGCAGGAACAACTTATCACATGTGAAGTACTTGATGATAAGCAGCTACAGTGTATTGCTGCTCCAGTCTTCAGATGTGGAAACGGAGGCTGGTCTTTTTCTATGAAATGGTCTCATGTTGCCCAGGTTAGATAAAACTTGGCATGTAGCTGAGGGTGACAGTGAACTGATTGTCCTGCCTCTACCTTCTAAGCACTGGGATCACGGGCCTCCAATACCGTACCTGGCTTGATTTTGGCTCCTGCCTTAGCCAAGTTCTAGGATTACAGTTAGGAGCTACCACACCTGGCTTGTTTTGTCTTGAGTGGGGGGTCTCATTATATAGCCCAGAATGACCTCAAAATCCTTCAGACTCAGACTCCCAAGTGCTGGGATTACAGATGGGACCACTGGGCTCTAACTGAAACTGAGGCTTAAGTCTCTTTTCATGTCTCTAGAGGAACACAATCTGGATGCTGCAGAGATAGAATTTGAACCCAGGTCTCCTCAAGGTTTCCTCTCATCCCAAGAGCAAACTGCAAGTTGCCTTTCCCCTCTCAAGTTTCTCTTAATCTGCCATTACCCAGATCTACATTTTCTTCCTAACACATATCACCTTCTAGCATGTTAGCCATGATTACTCAAGCTCATTGCTAGGATGTAAGCCCTTGATTAGCAGGAGTTCTTGTTTTGCTCATTTCGGTAACCCAAGGGCACCCTCTTGGCAAGCTCCTTCAGGGCAGAGGATGAGTGGCGGCGAAAAGCCTGCCTTCCCTGCCCGCAGAGCCCACTGTTCTGTTTGTCTGCTGACCTCCTCACTAGCCTGGGCAGTCAAGGGAGGTGGAGGGAAAGCTCACTTGTCCAGGTTCTTCAGGGAGAAGGGCTGTGTGGAGAAGCGGATGTAGCTGTCTCGATAGAACCACACAGTGAGCGGGTTCCAGTCAGTCACCAGGAACCACTGTCTCAGGTCAAACTTGGTGCCAAAGATGAGCAGGGGCCGCTCAATGTACTTCTGCACAATCCACTTGCCATCCTTCATCATCATAGGGTTGCAGTCGACCAGTTTCAGCATCTCCTCCAGGTGGTCCATGCACACGATACCTGAGGGGGGCGGGGGGACCTAAGCAGTCAGGGACCAAAAGGCTTGGAGAAGTGCCAGAGGACCGACCACAGGAACCCCATCTTAAGCACTCGTCCCCACGAGTCCAGCTGGACCTTAAGGCTGCCCCCAACCCAATCAGAACCGTTTTCCCTCTAGCAAAGCCAAGACTTCCGTTATGGCTATAAACAGGTAGAACTTTAACCAAGAGGTGGGAGGCTGGAGAGATGGCCCAACATTAAGAGCATTTGCTGTTCTTGCAGAGGACCCCACAACTCATGGCACAATTCCAGTTCCAGGGGACCTGACACCCTCTTCTGGCCTCCATGGGAAGGCAGGCACACACACACAGTGCATCCACGCACAAGCAGGCAAAACAACACACATAATATTAATAAACATTAGGAAAAAAATAAGGGCAAGATGGCTCAGTGGGTAGAGACACTCGTCACCAAGTTTAGTGCTTAGAGCCTACATGGGAAAGCAGAGAGCAGACACCTTGTAAGTTGCCCTCTGACCATTCTTGTGCACGCTGACCATGAACATACATTACTTTCCTCCAACAATTAAGAGACTAGGAGTCTGAAAGGCACACCGAATCTTCCCCCTTTGCCCAGGATGATGTCAGCTGCTGTGCCCAGATCCTATGCATAGCTTTCCAGCTACACGACTGTCTGTGCCTTGTTTTCCTAGGCTCCAAAGGAGCGCGGGGAGGCTGTGGGATGAAGCTGGTACTGTGGTCAGGCTGTGGTGAGGCTGAGCAAATGCCACCTCAATCTGTTACAATAAACTCTGGCTACAGGTTCTCATGTCCAACGATATGTGTTTACTTTCCTTCTTTTTGTTTTTCTCATTTCCCTTCTCTCTTCTTTCCTCTTTCTCCCTCCCCACTTCTCCCTCTCCTTCCCTCCCCTCTCCCTCCCTCCCTCCACATCCCCCCCACCCCAGGGTCTCACTGTGTAGCTCTGACTGGCCTGGAACTCACAGAGATCTGTCTGCCTCTACCTCCCAAGTGCTGGGATTAAAGGTGTGTGCCACCAACACCCGGCATTCTGTCTATTTATTGGGAGGCCTTTTGTAGTCTTTAAAGGCCAGGCTGATGCTGGACCCTCATGTGTACACAGTGGATTCATTGAAGTGACTCAGTGAAGTGAGGCCCAGAAACATTCTTCTGGGTAGTGAGGGGCAAAGCAGCACCGTGTGAGTGGTAGGTGACTGCTGCATTTAGCTTTTACCTGACTGGTAGACCTGGCACTAGCTCTGGCACTCAACAGAGTGGTGAGCTGGCTGTTGAAGGTCACACAGCATATTAGTAACAGCTGAGACCTAAACCTGGCAGTGGGGCAGTCTGAACTATTAACCTCCTTGGCTCCAGGTGGTAGATAAAGGTACTGAAACTGGAAGAAGAAATTGCTCTCCCACCTCGGCCACGGGACTTGGCTCCTGGCTTCACAATCCAGATGTTTCGATCCCCCTCCATGTCGATCTGGGGTACCACGGCCCGAAGCTGCTGTAGGATGTCTTCACAGCGCTGGACCTGGACCTCTAGGTGTTTCAGTTCTGCCCCTTCACTGTGTGGAGACAGTGGGACTTGGGGAGGGTGGGGCCTGGGCCAGATGAAAGGATAGGACAATCGGAGACACAGCCTCCCACCTCCAACCTGCTCTGGCCATGCCTGCCCCTGAGACACCTAGATAGGTCTCCTTGCTTCCCATCACCAACAGCCTCTAACCTATCCAGACTACAGCCCTCCCCAGTCCCATACTCTACCTTCTGACACCTTCTTTCCTAGAATCCTGAGGATGGGGCATTCACTAAGCCAGGCACTCTGGCAGACCCCCCCCCCAGCCCCGTTCCTCTCAGCAGCCGTCTAGGGAAGTATTACTCAGCCAGTTTTAGGGAAATTAAAATTGAAGCTGGGAGAGTTAGTGGACCTGGCCAAGGTTGCATACCAGGTGAAAGTGACTGAGCCAGGGTCCAAAAGCCAGACTGCTTTACCCAAAGGTGCCTTCCAAGTCCACCCTGCCTCATCTGGACCTAACTCTGGTTGACAGTCGTACTTTCTCAGTCTAAGGCTTGTCTCTCCCATTGCATACCCTCCCATGCCACAAATCCATTTATAAAGCTACTGTCTGCCCTCTCCCTTGGCCTTACTGATGTGTGGTACAGAGGGTTGAACCCAGCACCAGCTAGGCTGAGTATACACTCTCTTCTGAGCTACAAGTTGAGCCTGCTGTCTTCTGCGCATTTTGCTCTCTGCTGTGTCTCACTCTCTAACATAACCCCTACCACCTAGTAGGTACTTCCCAAGTCTGTTGACTGAGTGGTTGGCTGTGTGCATGCTTGGGTAGGAGTTGGCCTAGACAGATGGGTTCATGGGAAAGGGGGACCCTGTTCCCTACAGGATGGACCATATCCTCAACTATAATCATATGCTGTCCCAGATGGCTGCTTCATTTACTCCTGGACAACAAAGACTCCCCTGGATGCTGGCCTCACTTTAACAGCTGGACCTACCATAGACAGCTTTGTTTTTTGTGAGCAGCATCAAGAACAAGAGTGGCCAGACAGGGGGGCTCAAAGGTCTCCAAAGACAGTCCCACTGGCTCCTAACTAGCTTTCCTGTGGTCTGTGTCAGTATCTGCCTAGTAAATCTGGGGTGAGGCGCAGGGAAATGTCACCTGGGATTGGCAAGGGTACAGGGAATTTGAAAATGTCTATTCAGTATGACTTTTATAAAACCTGTTTTGATGAAAGTTAACCTTAATAAAAGTAAGGCTGATGAGGCATGGTCTTGTTTTTTATTTTTATTCTTTTAAATTATATGTATGTGTGTGTGCGTGCATGTGTGTGTGTCTGTACATATGTGTGTGCCTGTGTGTGCAGGTACTTGAGGACTACAGAAGCTCTAAGTCCCTTAAAGCTGGAGTTACAGGCAGTTGTGAGCTGCCTGACATGGGTGCTGGAAACCAAATCAGAACCTCTGAAACAGTATTCTTAACCACTGAGCCCTTACATGGGCTTGTTTTGTTTTTCTTTTCTGTTTGTTTTGTTTTGTTTTTGTTTTTCAACTCAGGGTTTCTCTGTGTATCCCTGGCTGTCCTGGAACTCACTTAGTAAACCAAGCTAGTCTTGAACTCACAGAGATCCTCCTGTCTCTGCCTCCCAAGTGTTGTTTTGTTTTTTCAAGACAGTATTTCTCTGTATAGTCCTGACTGTCCTGCAACTTGCTCTGTAGACCAGGCTAGCTCAGATCTCAGAGATCTGCCTGCCCCTGCCTCCTGAGTTACTGGGATTAAAGGCAGTAGCTACCACCACCTAGTTTTTTTTTTAATTTATTTTTAATTACTCATATTTACATATCCATTCCCCCCTCCATTCTCTTATCCTCCCCTTCTCCCATGTTCCCTACCCACCCCACCCCCACTACCTAGTTTTACATGAGCTTGTTTAAAAACAGTGGAGAAAGTCATAAAGCAGTGATAAAGTGAGCCACTCATCACTTATATACATGTGGAGATTGTTTTTTATGTGTGTGTATATGGGGGGGGTCGTTTGTTTGAGATAAGGTCTTGCTATTCTCCTAAACTGGCCTTAATTTATAGTGTGATCCTCCTGCCTCAGCCTCCTGAATACCATACCTGCCCATGTCTGTTTTCTAAAGGGTTTATGTGATTCTTACTTTTGGTGGGTTCTCAACAGCCTCCACATTGAAAATAAAAAAGGATCTTTCTAGCCAGGTAGTTGTGGTATACACCATTAATCCCAGCACTTAGGAGGCAGAGGCAGGTGAATCTCTGAGTTCAAGGCCAGCCTGGTCTTCAGAGCAAGTTCCAGGACAGGACAGCCAGGGCTACACAGAGAAAACCCTGTCTCAAACAAACAAACAACAAAAGGATCCTTGATAATTCTCGGTTTAAGAAGACTGAGCCTAGCCAGGCAGTTGTGGTCCACACCTTTAATCCCAGCACTTGGGAGGCAGAGGCAGGTGGATTTCTGAGTTCAAGGCCAGCCTGGTCTACAAATCAAGTTCCAGGACAGCCAGAGCTACACAGAGAAACCCTGTCACAAAAGAACAAACAAACACAGAAAGAAAAGAAAAGAAAAGAAAAGAAAAAAGAAAAGAAAGCTACCTTGGGGCTAGGGTATAGCTCACATGGTAAAGCTCTTGCTTAGCATTTCTGGGATCCTGAGTTCTAGCCCATTACTATAAAAATGGTAAGTGCTGTGCCCTGCAGTGCTTTGGCTCTGGAGCCTGACATAATGTTGGACACACTGATGGTGCTCACCAAGTGCTTGACATATTCTCCTGCTGCCATGCCAGGTTCTGCACCTCCTGCCCAAAGCAAGCTCCCAAAACACCACCTCTGTTCTCTCCCTCCTCAACTCTCTTGCTCACACTAAAAGGTTCTGAATTCTATATCAAGAAAACCTGTTAAATTCACTATGTTTAACTCAGTATTAATAGTGATGCCTATTTCCTTTCTATGGGAATTAGCATCCTGTGTCTCACAGTGACAATTGGCCTCTAGAATGAAATTTAAATGCCTTAGAATCCTGTTTTGAGTGGACACCTCACTGGGCAGTGGTGGCACATGCCTTAAATCTCAGCACTTGGGAGGCAGAGGCAGGCAGATCTCTGTGAGTTTGAGACCAGCCTGATCTACAAGAGCTAGTTCCAGGACAGGTTCCAAAGCTACAGAGAAACCCTGTCTTGAAAAACTAAAAAGAAAAAAAGAAAAAGAAAAAGAAAAAGAAGGAAAGAAGTCCACAAGAGTGGACACCTCAAACCTGTGGCGACCCCACAATAAGAATTATCCTGTGGCATACCATTCTGCAAAGTGGATGCTATTTTCAAATCTATTTTGCATTTAAGAAAAAGTTGTTCAGAAAGCTCAGTGACGTTCCCAGGGCCACAGAGTTTAGGAAATGGGAAGAAATGACTGGAATTTAAATCTACTGACAACCCAAGCTACCACCTTGGTCCCATGCTATGCTAAGGTGGAAAATCAGTGGACTGGACTCTCTCATGGAGCCAGTGGGAGCCTCTGAGGGTTCCTGAGCAGGAGTATCCAGGATAAAAGAAGATGGGGGGGGCTGGGCTGTGCTAGATGGAGAGGGTCTGACTACAACCCCTGCCCATATGCCCATGGCCCAGCCCTGCACTTACTGGACTATTTGGTAGTAGCGCTGCAGGAAGGTGGACCAACCCTCAGGGCTGAAGTACAGTGGGGCATCCGGGTCCTTGTCTATGTCCTTGTGGGCCATGCTGCTAAGATGCTCCTCACATGCACTCAGAGCCTCGTCCACAAACTCTGAGGACACAGTCCCTGCTTTTCTTTCCTGTTTCTTGGACAGTGTGCTTTCTGTAGGGATGGAAGGGACCTGTAAATACCCCATTTTGAAGCAGGTAATGTTACACATGCCATTGTCCTTTGCTGACCTGAAACCTATCACTTACCTGAGACCTCGTGCTAAAGACACCTGAGACCCAGCATGAACTCGATCCCTAGCCACCCTCAGACATGCCACTCATTCACCTGAAACTGCTCTAAATCCACTTGCAACCCTAGCGTTTCATCCCTGGCCATCACTGTCCCTGTACTCCTTATTTAACTAAGCTTCCGGCCTAAATGTCCCAAAGGTCTCTAGAGCATGCCTACCCTAGCACCCACCAGCTCTTACCCCTGGGCCTCTGACACAACTTGACCCTACAATGTACCTGAAACCTGACCCATACTTGAGCTCGGTTCACAGAAGTATTAAGTGCAGGGTCTCTGGTCATAGAGGGTCCCCTGTGGCCCAGATCCTGGCACATAACAGTCTTTTTGGTACCTGATCCACATAGGTCAAATGACAGCAATCAAAGGTGTGTGTGTGTAGGGGTCCCTCTGGAAGGGCCAGGGACTTTTCTCCTTCCAGTAAAGCTGCCCATTCCCTCCCAGAGTCCCTTAGCCATGGAGCCCCAGTCTTGCAGAGTGGGGAGGGAAGCACTATGTTGGACTGGCGCGCAGAGGGTTTCTATGTCCCCTCCCTTCCCAGATGTTCCTTATGTGCAGGCACGGGGCTTCTTGGGGACATCTGTACATAGCTATATGTTGCTGTGCATCTTCCCAGGAAATTTAAAGTTGTTATCACAGGCAGGGATGGGCCATGTGGTCTCAGCCACATGGTCTTGCTAACGTGGTCAGTCAGGCCTATTCAAGGGCGGGACAATGAACAGATTGACAGGTAGACAGGTGCAGGGGAGATGCAAGGGGAGATTTTTAGGGTGACAGGTGGTAAAAAGCAGAGGGCAGACAGGTGGATGGGAAGACATGAAAATGGATTGTGCAAGGGCGGGAAGGGAGGGCGTGGGCAGATGGATATGACATGGGAAGGGTGGCAGTGGTAGGTGATTGAAGTGATTGGCGAGAGGTGGCCAGGTGGGAGGATGGTGGGGATGAACGGATGGCGGCTGGGTAGATGGGTGGATGGCTGGGTGAACAGGAGTGAACATATATTCACAGAGAGGAAGCTGGGCGGAAAGCTTGGCGGCAAAGGCTGCAGCCTGGTTCTATGAACGGGCGCCTGATGGTGGGATGGAGGTAACCTCAGCACTCACCTGGGACTGCTTCCTCTTTTGCCTTGATGGAGGTGTAGTATGACTTCCTTTCCGACTTCACCACCATCTTGAGAACGTTGCGGGCAGCTGTCAGCCAGAAGTCCTCTGCTCCCAGGCAGGGATACCCTGCTCAGCCCCCAGGCTCCAGGCCTCTCCTGGCTCTGGAACCTCACCATGGCTTGTCCCATTTTGGGTCCAGAACCTCATTTACCTGTCTTACTCTAGCACCTGGCTACAACCCCGGCTATACCTTTATTCATTTTGTATTTCTTTTATAACAATACAGCCATCTTTATTTTGGAGTTCTGATATTCTTCCCCTCTCCTCCCATTCCCTCCCTGTACTCCTTCCTCCCTCCCTCCCTCCCTCTCTCCTTCCCTTCCTTCCTTCCTTCCTTCTTTCCTTCCTTCCTTCCCTTTCTTCCTTCCTGTTTTTCCTTCTCTTTCTTTTTCTTTGTCTTTTTTCTTTTTTTGACAGGTTCTTGCAGTTTCAAGATGACTGGCTTGGAACCCACTTCATAGACAAGGGTGGTCTCACATTGTGGCCATCCTGCCTCTGCTTCCCCAGTGTGGGGATTACAGGTATGATGCCCCACCCATGGTCCTCCTTGTCCATTTTGACACTTACTCTAATCTGAGAGTCACACCGTGCCCTAAATTCCATTGCAGGTTTAGAACATAATTTAAAAGCTGCTATCCTCTCCAGATCCAAATTCTGAACTCAGAACCCATATTGGAACGGGAACCTATTTTGTCTTAGAGACCCACAGCCTTGTATGGAACCTGGTCCAGCCTGCAACTTATCTAGATTCCAAATGGAATCAACCTACCGACCTCTGGAACCTGCTGCTCTAGAATTCAAGCCTGGCTTGAACTGGGCCAAGCTAGGAAGATCAGGAATGGAAGACCCATTAGTGGGAGGACAGGGCTGGGGTTCCAGGGGGAAGTCTACTGAGTAGGTGAGGGCAAGAGGGGAGGCCTGTTGTTTTCCACTGTGGGGAAGACAGCATGAGGGGACCAGGCATGGGGATGGAGACCCCTTACCTATGAAGGCTTTCTTGTCATCCTCTGCTCCCAGGCGATAGCATCGTGGGAAGAAGGAGTCAGCGTCAGCCTCGTCAAACCATGGAAGATTCCGGAGGTTGAGACACAGGCCCACCTACGGAGGCAGCTGCTGGAGAGGCTGGCTAGGACCCAGAGAGGGTCAAGGGGCTCCCTCACATGCAGCATGTATGTTCAGACACGCAGGAAAACCCTGCCTGGACCTCCAGCCCACTTGTTAGGCCTGATTTGATATCCATCTCCAGGTTTGCCCAGCCCTCCACCAACCACTTCCCACCCATAAGGGCTTATTCCACCCAGGAAGCCTTTATAGCTCACACCACAGTGTGAATGATGACATAGTACAGTGGTTCTCAACCTTCCTAATGATAGCAACCTTTATTTCGTTGCTACTTCCTAACTAATTTTGCTACTGTTACGAATCGTAATAGGAATATCTGATATGCAGGATTATCTGGATAGGTGACCCCAAAGGGGTTGTGCCCCACAGGTTGAGAACCACTGGCATAGTAGAGATGCTGATAAACCTTTTATCCTTTACACAACCTTAGACAACAGGTATGCTGGGTACTCTCATCTAAAGATGAGGAAGCAGAGGCTTGGAGAAGAGGTGGAGCCACTTGCTAAGAAACCCAGTAGACAGACATGCTCTGTTCAGGCAAGGGCCCCTTTGTTCATGATCATTGATTTGATGTTTACAGACTTCATGGGAACTGAGCCCAAAATTACCATGTCAACATATGTCAGCTATAGTTTTGGGATTAGATATGAACCTAAGAACATCTTGTGTTCTCTGTAGGTTCTTTAACTGACAAGTACAGCAGGAAGCAGGGCTGCCAGTCCAAAGACTGGGGCTGGATCCTGCCTCCACCCCCTTCCCCCC